CAACTGGGGTGCCTAGGCACAGAATGTTACCTTGTATCAGGAGGGCCTAGGCACGGGGAGGGTGCTGATATCAGGGGGCCTAGGCACGGGGAGGGAGACGATATCAAGAGGGCCTAGGCGATATCAGGAGGGCCTAGGCAGGGGAGGGTGCCGATATCAGGAGGGCACGGGGAGGGAGACGGGAGGGCCTAGGCATTGATATCAGGAGGGCCTAGGCACGGGGAGGTCGCTGATATCAGGAGGGCCTAGGCATGGGAAGGGCGCCGATAGCAGGAGGGCCTAGGGACGGGGATCATCGATATCAGGAGGGCCTAGGCACGGGGAGGTCGCCGATATCAGGAGGGCCTAGGCAGGGGGCGGGCGGGGCCGATATCAGGAGGGCCTAGGCACGGGGAGGGCGCCGATATCAGGACGGGGCCTAGGCACGGGGAGGGTGCCAATATCAGGAGGGCCTAGGGACGGGGATCATCGATATCCGGAGGGCCTAGGCATGAGGAGGGCGCCGATATCAGGAGGGCCTAGGGACGGGGATCATCGATATCCAGAGGGCCTCGGGGAGGGCGCCGATATCAGGAGGGCCTAGGGAGAGGGGGGGCGCCGATATCAGGAGGGCCTAGGGACGGGGATCATCGATATCAGGAGGGCCTAGGCACGGGGAGGGCGCCGATATCAGGAGGGCCTAGGGATGGGGATCATCGATATCCGGAGGGCCTAGGCACGGGGAGGTCGCCGATATCAGGAGGGCCTAGGTACGGGGAGGGCGCCGATATCAGGAGGGCCTAGGGGAGATATCCGGAGGGAGGGAGGGTGCTGATATCAGGAGGGCCTAGACACGGGGAGGGCGCCGATATCAGGAGGGCCACGGGGAGGGCGCCGATATCAGGAGGGCCTAGGTACGGGGAGGGCGCCGATTTGAGAAGGGCCTAGGGAGAGGGAGGGTGCTGATATATCAGGAGGGCCTAGACACGGGGAGGGCGCCGATATCAGGAGGGCCTAGGGAGAGGGAGGGCGCCATATATCGCCGATATCAGGAGGAGGGCCTTTATCAGGGAGGGGGGGGCGCCGATATCAGGAGGGCCTAGGCACGGCGAGGGCGCCGATATCGGGTGGGCCTCAGCACGGGGAGGTCGCTGATATCGGGAGGGCCTAGGGACAGGGAGGTCGCCGAAATCGGGAGGGCCTAGGGACGAGGAGGGCGCCGATATCGGGAGGGCCTAGGGACGGGGAGGGCGCCGATATCGGGAGGGCCTAGGCACGGGGAGGGCGCCGATATCGGGAGGGCCTAGGCACGGGGAGGGCGCCGATATCGGGAGGGCCTAGGCACGGGGAGGGCGCCGATATCGGGAGGGCCTAGGCACGGGGAGGTCGCCGATATCTGGAGGGCCTAGGGAGGGGGAGGGCGCCGATATCGGGAGGGCCTAGGGACGATATCAGGGGGCCCTAGGCAGCGGACCGTTCTCCTCCACAATGGATGCCGAAGAAACGGGAAAAACAGAAACTCCTCTTCACCTTGGGAAATGTTTATCCTGAGAAATCCTCCTTTACAATCCCAGAATTGTGGAGAAAAAAGTAAAATTTTCAAAAAATTTCATATTTCCATCCAAATTGTAAAACGTTTTCTGGCCGCCGGCAGATTTTATACAGATCGATCAGAAATGACGACTCCAAGGGGCGTGGCTTAGAAAGGAGCTAAACCTTCTGCTGTCATTCAAACCTGGGAGCGTCTCTGCCTCCTGCCTGTATCTCATGGCTAGATCCTCTCCTGCGACCGACGCGTTCCTTCCCAATCGGGGGGCCGAGTGAGGACTATTGGAGAGAAATGCGTTGGACGTAGAGAGGGTCTAGTAGTGAGATAGAAAAACTGACAACGCCTGACTGTATCTCACTGCTGGACTCTCATGCCTCCGACGCGTTTCTTCCCAATTGGGGGCCGAGTGAGGAGTATTGGAGAGAAATGCGTCGGGCGTAGCGAGGGTCATAGGAGAGGGTCTAGTAGTGAGATAGAAAACTGACAACGCCTGACTGTATCTCACTGCTGGACTCTCATGCATCCGACGCGTTTCTTCCCCATTGGGGCTGACTGAGGAGTATTGGAGAGAAATGCGTCGGGCGTAGCGAGGGTCTAGGAGTGAGATAGAAAACTGACAACGCCTGACTGTATCTCACTGCTGGACTCTCATGCATCCGACGCGTTTCTTCCCAACTGGGGCTGAGTGAGGACTATTGGAGAGAAATGCGTCAGCGTAGCGAGGGTCTAGTAGTGAGATAGAAAACTGACAACGCCTGACTGTATCTCACTGCTGGACTCTCATACATCCGACGCGTTTCTTCCCCATTGGGGCTGACTGAGGAGTATTGGGGAGAAATGCGTTGGACATAGGAGAGGGTCTAGCAGTAAAATAGAAAACTGACAAAGCCTGATTGTATCTCACTGCTAGACCCTCTCATACAACCGACGCGTTTCTTCCCAATAGTCAGGCTGTCAGTTTTCTCACTACTAGCCCCTCTCCTACACCGACGCGTTTCTCTCCAATACGCACTCAGCCCCTATTGGGAATAAATGTGTCAGACGCATGAGAGTCTAGCAGAAAGATACAGTCAGGCTTTGTCAGTTTTCTATTCCACTGCTAGACCCTCTCCTATGTCTGACGCATTTCTCCCCAATACTTCTCTCAGCATCAATTGGGAAGAAATGCGTCGGGCACCTGAGAGTCTTGCAGTGAGATATTCAGGCGTGGTCAGTTTTCTGTTTCACTTCTAGATCCTCTCCTACGTCCGACGCATTTCTCCCCAATGCTGGTCGCTCAGCCCTAATTGGGAAGAAACGCGTCGGCCACTTGAGAGTCTAGCAGTGAGATACAGTCAGGCTTTGTCAGTTTTCCATCTCACTCCTAGACCCTCGCCGGAGTACTGGAGAGAAATGCGTCGGACGTAGGAGGTGGTCTAGTAGTGAAATAGAAAACTGACAAAGCTTGAATATCTCACTGCTAGACTCTCATACGACTTACGCGTTTCTTCCCAATAGGAGCTGAGAGCAGTATTGGGGAGAAATGCGTCGGATGTAGAGGGTCTAGCAGTGAGATAGTCAGGGTTTGTCAGTTTTCTCTCCAATACTCACTCAGCCCGAGGGGGTCTAATAGTGAGATAGAAAACCAACAAAGCCTGACTGTGTCACAGATAGACTCTCATACAGCCGACGCGTTTCTTCCCAACAGGAGCTGAGTGAGCAGTATTGGAGAGAAACGCGTCGGGCGTAGGAGAGGGTCTGGTAGTGAGAAAACTGACAAAGCCTGACTGTATGTCACTGCTAGACCCCCACCTACAGGTGACGCGTTTCTTCCCAATAGGGACTGAGTGATGCGTATTGGAGAGAAACGCGTCGGATGTGGGAGAGGAGCTAGTAGTGAGATACGATCAGTTTTATATCCAATTTCCAAAGGCAAAATCACCCGAAAGCTGTAAATAACGACGGCAACCGCATGTTCGCTGGTCTCCGTCTGCCGGGCAGAATCTGTATGGCGATCAAGTCCCACCAGGAATGGCAGCATGGCGGCCCGCGGACAGAGAGAGCCACGGACAGAGCGAGCCGAGGACAGACCGAGCCGCGGACAGACCGAGCCGAGGACGGGCCGAAGACAGACCGGGCCGCGGACAGACCGAGCCGAGGACGGGCCGAAGACAGACCGGGCCGCGGACAGACTGAGCCGAGGACGGGCCGAGGACGGGCCGAAGACAGACCGAGCCGCGGACAGACCGAGCCGAGGACGGGCCGAAGACAGACAGACCGGGCCGAGGACGGGCCGAAGACAGACCGAGCCGCGGACAGACCGAGCCGAGGACGGGCCGTAGACAGACCGAGCCGCGGACAGACTGAGCCGCGGACAGACTGAGCCGAGGACACACCGGGCCGCGCTGAGCCGCGGACAGACCGAGGAGAGACCGGACCGCGCACAGACGGAGCCGAGGAGAGACCGGACCGCGCACAGACGGAGCCGAGGAGAGACCGGACAGACCGCGCACAGACCGAGCCGAGGAGAGACCGGACCGCGGACAGACCGAGCCACGCACAGACGGAGCCGAGGACAGACCGGGCCGAGGACAGACTGGGCCGAAGACAGACCGAGCCGAGGACAGACCTTCACCACTGCTGCTGCCTTCTCCAACAAGCTTTATTGCCAGCTGACAAAGCCTGACTGGACGTTCCCATTAGCCCCTCGGCTCTACCAGGCACATTTCATCCCAACGGGGGCGGAGTAACAAGTATCAGGGAGAAACGCGTTAGCCGTGTCCTACGCCTCGTACCGCCGCGTCCCGCGCGCCTCACACCGCCACGTCCCATGCCTCCTCGCACCTCCACGTCCCATGCCTCCTCGCACCGTCACGTCCCACGCCTCGCACCTCCGTGTCCCACGCCTCGCACCGCTGCGCCCCACACCACCACTTTCCACACCTCGCACCTACGCGTCCCATGCCTCACCCCACGCCTCACACCGCCACGTCCCACGCCTCGCCACGTCCCACGCCTCGCACCGCCCGCATCCCACGCCTCGCACCGCCGTGTCCCACGCCTCACCGCACGCCTTGCACCGCCACATCCTACGCCTCGCTCCGCCTCATCAATAAATGGAACAAAACCATTTCTTTCTCAAACTTTATTAAAAAACTCCAAAATATACAAATCACCAAAAAAAAACATAAAATTGTAACAAACAGTAAAAATATCCTCCCACCGCGCACCGGCTGAAGTCCCACACGAGACCGCCAACATCGCCCTCACCAGACACTCGGCGCCGCTCACGGCAGGAAACAGCAAACAGAACACGGCGCCATCTGCAGAGGATAGAAGGGGTCCCGGGGGTGGTAGGACCATTTCATGGATCTTCACACAAAGCTTCCATCACCTTGGCTGTGTCTTCAGAGAAGTAGTCGTTCGGTGTGGAGCGGGGGGGCCTCTGGTGGGGGTGGGGGGGGTGGAATGTACAACCAGCACCATGTGGCCCTCAGATTCGCTTGTCTTCCTCCGGTGAGCCAATGAGAAGCTCTTTACTGCCGAAGTCCCACCAGGCCGTCATGTGGAAGCCCATATTGGAGAGGACAACCAGGTACTCCAGGAGGGCGAAGATGGTGTACGCTACGGAGAAGAAGGAGAACGGGAAGTTCCAGAAGATCAGACCACTCAACCCCCCCCCCCCCCAATCTACACCTCAACTCCCCCCCCCCCCCCCCCAATCTACACCTCGACACCCCCCGCCTCGACACTCCCCCCCCATAATCTACACCTCCCCGCCTCGACACTCCCCCCAATCTACACCTCCCCGCCTCGACACTCCCTCCAATCTACACCTCCCCGCCTCGACACTCCCCCCATAATCTACACCTCCCCGCCTCGACACTCCCCCCAATCTACACCTCCCCGCCTCGACACTCCCCCCAATCTACACCTCCCCGCCTCGACACTCCCCTCGACACTCCCCCAATCTACACCTCAACACTCCCCCCCCTCCAATCTACACCTCCCCGCCTCGACACTCCCCCCATAATCTACACCTCAACCCCCATAATATACACCTCCCCGCCTCGACACTCCCCCCTCCAATCTACACCTCCCCGCCTCGACACTCCCTCCAATCTACACCTCCCCGCCTCCACACTCTCTCCAATCTACACCTCCCCGCCTCCACACTCCCCCCAATCTACACCTCCCCGCTACACCTCCCCCCTCCACACCAATCTCCCCCCATAATCTACACCTCCCCGCCTCCACACTCCCCCCATCTATCTACACCTCCCCGCCTCCACACCCGCCTCCCCCCCCATAATCTACACCTCCCCGCCTCCACACTCCCCCCATAATCTACACCTCCCCGCCTCCACACTCCCCCCATAATCTACACCTCCCCGCCTCCACACTCCCCCCATAATCTACACCTCCCCGCCTCCACACTCCCCCCATAATCTACACCTCCCCGCCTCCACACTCCCTCCAATCTACACCTCCCCGCCTCCACACTCCCCCCATAATCTACACACTCCCCGCCTCGACACTCCCCCCATAATCTACACCTCCCCGCCTCGACACTCCCCCCAATCTACACCTCCCCGCCTCCACACTCCCCCTCGACACTCCCCCCCAATCTAATCTACACCTCCCCGCCTCCACACTCCCCCCCCATAATCTACACCTCCCCGCGCCCCTCTAATGATCGATGAAACGGGGGATAATCTTTAGAAACTTGTAATAATACAGAAAACCCACAAAATCTCAGGACAATCATCAGAAATGTAACCAAAAACTGATGGAATCAATTCTGACCTGATATATAAATTAACCCCCGATGTATCTCTCTCCCCTCCCCCGATGTATCTCTCCCCTCCCCCTTCCTCAGACACACCCACCTCCGGGCTCACAGTACACGTTGTGGCGGATATAAACCACGAGAGAGATGAAGAACGCCACAATGTTGAAGAAGAAGAGATGCTTCTTGTAGGTGTAGGACCTTCGCTCCTGGGACACAGAGAGGAGAAATGTCACCTGTAAGACCTACAGATACAGGAAGAGTCACCTAGGCCAAGGAGTTCTCCACCCGGGTGTCACTGTGTGGGCGAGTGGGGGGTGTGGAGGGGTTAGAGACCCTGCAGCAGACTTGGTGGCCCGGTAAATGGTGACATTTTTGGGAGCTGGGGAGCACTGTGGGAGGTTGGCGGGCACTGTAGAGAGCTGATGGAGGCTCTTCAGCAAGTTGGAGGACATTGTGGGAGGTTAAGTTATCTGCTGGAGGGAGGGGAGACTACATCCTGGCAGTGGGCCATGGCTCAGTGGTTGAGAACCCCTGACCTAGTGGATGAGTAGAACATGGGATGGCCTTACATGTCACCCAGAGGATGGGCCATAAGTATAACCCAGAGGATAGGCCTCACGTCCCCCAGAGTACAAGCCTTATGTGGGCCTCACGTGTACCTCCGAGGAGGTGCCTTATGTGCCCTTCAGAGGATGGACCTCATGTGTACCCACCCCCGTAGATGAGCCTTAACTGCCCCTCAGAGAATGGGCCTCATGTGTACCCCAGAGGAGGTGTATTATGTGCCCCTCAGAGAACGGGCCTCGTGTGTACCCCAAGAACGAGCCTTATGTGCCCTTTAGAGGATGGGCCTCACATGTACCCCTGAGGAGGTGCTTTAAGTGCCCCTCAGAGAACGGGCCTCGTGCGTACCCCAAGGACAAGCCTTATGTGTCCTTTAGAGGATGGGCCTCACGTGTACCCCTGAGGAGGTGCTTTAAGTGCCCCTCAGAGAATGGGCCTCGTGTACCCCAAGGACGAGCCTTATGTGTCCCTCAGAGGACAGGCCTCACGTGTACCCCACAGGAGCATTACGTGTCTTTCATGTCTTTATGTGCTCCCAAGCCTTATGTGCTCCCAAGAGGACAGGCCTCGTGTGCCCCTCGGGGGACAGCTTTACATGTCACCCAGAGAATGGGCCCTAAGTGTTCCCCAGAGGACAAGCCTTATGTGCCCCTCAGAGGATGCGCCTCGTGTCCCTAGAGGACAAGCCCTACGTGCCCCCCAAAGGACAAGCCCTATGTGTCCCTCAGAGGATGGGCCTTACATGTCACTCAGAGGATGGGCCCTAAATGTTACCCAGAGGATGAGCCTTACAAGTCCCTCAGAGGACAGGCTTTACATGTCACCTAGAGGATGGGTCTAAAGTATTCCCCAGAGGATGAGCATTATGTGCCCCTCAAAGGATGGGCCTCACATGTCCCTTAGAGGACAAGCATTATGTGCCCCTCCGAGGATGGGCCTCATGTGTCTCAGACAACAAGTCTTATGAGTTCCCCAGAGGGTGGTTCTTACAACTCCCCCATGGGTTGGGCCTTTCATGTCACCCAGAGGACGGGCCTCATGGGTCCTCCAGAAAAAGTGTCCATATTTAGATTTCCTGTCTTATAGAGACAATCCTGTCCTTCTCCAGGTGTGCGACATTCTGAAATTCTCTCCTATCTGTTGGAAGGACACGGGGGAGCCGGGATGACATTGATTGGTGGATGGCCCCAACCACTGCTGTGTGGCATGAAGGAGGATGGGACGTGTTGGTTGACTTTCATTATGAATGGGGTGGGATGTAGGAGACCCTCAGCCTTACCTCAGAACTTACAGAAAATCTCCTGGTCCTCTTCCATATTAGAAGTGTTGTGATCATGTGACTGAGAGAAAAGAACATGAAGAATGAAAACGCCAACTGATGGATCCCTGCAAAGACAAGAGGAGAAAATGACCAAAAATGACTGCAAGTCCCAGTTCAGGAGCAACGAGGGAGTACTAAAGGGTCCACCATTCCAACCGGGATTTCCTAGAGACTCCAGCTGACATCTCCATTCTATACAGATTCTGGTCTTCCTGGGCATCATAGAGATCTGAGCATTCCCACCCCTCATAATGGGCACGGCGGGTGTACAGACCCGGGAACTCGGCACAGGGATGGTGGGAACCCCTCATTATGGGCACAACGTGGGTACAGACCCGGGAACTCAGCACAGGTATGGTGGGAACCCCTCATAATGGGCACAGCAGCTGTACAGACCCAGTGCAGGGTCTCATCAAAAAGTCCCTAAGTGCTCTAAACCAAAGTTGTATTACATTTCAGGTTCGTGTCCTTCGTTGTGGAGCATTTGTTTTCTTGTTTTCATGTTAAAATCAAAGTTTTCTGTATTTGCTGAAAATGTGTTAGACTTACCGTATATTCCATTTCTTGTAGCTCATTCCAGGATGTGGGAATTCAGAGATTGTTGGATCATACTGCATTCTACAGGAGGATACAAATAAAATGTAGACGGGCCCAGTATGACCCCTCCTACTCCCGGCATTATTATGTTTTGTAGCCTCGATGTGTCCCTCAATGGACTCCAGCAGATGCCTCGATGTGTCCCTCAATGGACTCCAGCAGATGCCTCGATGTGTCCCTCAATGGACTCCAGCAGATGCCTCGATGTGTCCCTCAATGGACTCCAGCAGATGCCTCGATGTGTCCCTCAATGGACTCCAGCAGATGCCTCGATGTGTCCCTCAATGGACTCCAGCAGATGCCTCGATGTGTCCCTCAATGGACTCCAGCAGATGCCTCGATGTGTCCCTCAATGGACTCCAGCAGATGCCTCGATGTGTCCCTCAATGGACTCCAGCAGATGCCTCGATGTGTCCCTCAATGGACTCCAGCAGATGCCTCGATGTGTCCCTCAATGGACTCCAGCAGATGCCTCGATGTGTCCCTCAATGGACTCCAGCAGATGCCTCGATGTGTCCCTCAATGGACTCCAGCAGATGCCTCGATGTGTCCCTCAATGGACTCCAGCAGATGGCTCTAACACCAAGTACAAAGGTTCTGTTTTCTTTAGAGTTCATTGCGGGACGTGGGAATTTGGTGACCGCTGGAACATCCAAAAGCAGCCCAACTGTGAGGTTGGCAGCAGCAACAAGAAAACCCTTCCAGGCCCGTATATGAAAAATAGAAGCCTGGAGCTCAAACAGCTGCCTGGGAGGACCTCACCTCCAAAGCTGGAATCAGATGAGGCCCAAATATCCCCCTGATAGAACTTCCATGGTGTGGAACACAGTGGGGAGTCTTGCAAATTTGGGAAACCGCAACCTGATGCCGGAAAGCCCAAGGAGCAGCCGCCACCCGCAGGTCTAGTAAGGTGCACCTTGATGGGGCAGAAGGAACCTGATCCTTAAGACTATCAGCCTGAATGGTGGTCTGTCTGAGCCACTGAGAAATGGTGGAATGAGAAGCTGGCTCCCTCCTGCAGGTTCCTTCATGGAAGACAAAAGAGAGAGTCAGACTTTCTGAAGGAAAAAGTAGACACACACAACCCAAATTACATCCAAGCAATGGAAGGAGATCTCCACCTGATGAACCGGAACTGGACAAAATGAACAACATTCTGGTTGAGGTGAAAGGCTGAAGCTACCCCGAGAAAGAAGGAAATTCAGGGCCTCAACACCACCTTGTGCTTCTGTAAGACCAGGAGGGCATCTTTACAGGATACAACTGCCACTTTGGACACTCGCGGAGGTGATGGCGACAAGAAACGCAGTCCTGTGAGTGACAGTTAAATATTACTAATAAGCTCAAAAGGCATTTTTTGAATTTCCGAGAGAACCAAATTCAGATGCCATGGAGTCACTGTAGACCACACAGAGGGGGCTACATGAGAGACACCTACATATGTCCCAATCAAAGAATGGGAAGCTAGCCGTCTCTGGAACAAGATTGCAAGTGCTGACATTGGACCCTTGATGGTACTAAGGGCCAAATGCTGACCCAGACCCATCTGTAGATGGTCCAGATTTCATCCTACTGAGAATTTCCTCCGGTGAAAGTTTCCTGCCTTGCACCATGGGTAGTTAGTCTTCCATGTGTGATCGTAGAGCTTGTGGGCAGTAGCAACATGGGGATCAGCCATTCAGAGACGTACCTGTCCCCTGGGACCTGGGTGTAACGGAACCGGACCCCGACTGCACTTGGGTATTTTCCGTTATACTGCAGCTTCCCTGTCTGAACACAAATCCCCGGACACCACCGCTGATCATGCAGGAAATAGACAGCACCAGACTCTTCTTAAGACAGGAAGTCAACTCCTTTATTTTTACACAAAACACAAGATATATACAGGGGGCGGGGAAACACAACCAGGAAAAGGAAACACATCATCAGCCCGCCCCACCAGTGGAAAGGGCTACAGGAAACACCCCCCACCCAACCAAGACACAGAACAATGGGATGCAGCACATGGCAGATAACAATGGACAACCATGTGCAGTGAACAAAGGACAATCCCCACACCAATACACAATATACATTCACACCCTGTACCCCTTAACAGGCACAGGGTGAGTTAAACATAAGAATTTGGGAAGATGATACAGGGGTCCCCCCAACCCCAAAAGTCACTCCCGTCACACTGGATTGCAAGAACAGCCAATGCCGTTAAAGCCAAAGACCATGAAACAGGATGATAAACCAGTCTCTGAGACAGAGGATCAAGACCATCTGGAACCCTAAGCCATGGCGTCTGATGAGGTTGGACTACCACATCTGCCTGAGCCATCTGAGGCTATGAATTAGAATGTCTTCCATCTTGACCCCTGCCCAAATTTGCAAGACTCCCCACTGGTCTTGTGTTCCACGCCATGGAAGTTCTATCAGGGGGATATTTGGGCCTCATCTGATTCCAGCTTTGGAGGTGAGGTCCTCCCAGGCAGCTGTTTGAGCTCCAGGCTTCTATTTTTCATATACGGGCCTGGAAGGGTTTTCTTGTTGCTGCTGCCAACCTCACAGTTGGGCTGCTTTTGGATGTTCCAGCGGTCACCAAATTTCCACGTCCCGCAATGAACTCTAAAGAAAACAGAACCTTTGTACTTGGTGTTAGAGCCATCTACTGGAGTCCATTGAGGGACACATCGAGGCATCTACTGTCTTCCCTGCCAGATGAGAAAGGAGCTTCTGGAGAGGACGGTTGTAGATGGTATGGTACTAATTTTACAGAGGGCATCGATCGTCACTGTTAGAGGATTCCTGTACCTGGAGTCGAATTTGTGAACATGGAGGCCAGGAGGTCCACATCTATCATCTCTCTACTTGTGAAAAACAGATTGATGAACATCTCCAGATGTAGGAACCATTCTTCCAAATCCAGACGCTGCCAGCTGAGGAACTGTCAGCCAACTGTCCACGCCTGGGATGTAAAGGCTGGAACATGGGTTTCTGCCCAGGACAAGATCTTTTCTACCTGTCAGGGCAGGAGCTGAGGAACGGACAGGCAGGCCTAATAACAATGTAACGCACTGGCTGACGACAACCACCACCCACAGACCGAAGTCCCTCAGGGCGCGGAGTCTAAGTCCCAGGCTGCCCTTCACCAGGGCCCCTGATGGTGGGGATGGACTTGACGCAGCCAGGAACCAGGTCGCGGCCCCCGAGACACCCCAGTTGCGGTTATGGCCGCCGCCAATGGCGTGTAGCTGGTGGAAAGGACAATAGAGTAGTCGGGCAGGCCGGGTCGACAACAACAGGACAAAACGGTACAGGACAGCAGACGAGAATCACAGGTCACGGGCCGGGTTCAGCAACGGAGGGTCAGATCAAAGGAGAACACAAAGAATGGTCAAGTCACAAGCCGAGTCAGATTCCAGGAGAGTCACGAGAGTCAGAACAGAGCTGTAGCGACACAAAGACACACAAGTGCAAAGAGCATGTGCGGACCACAGGCTTATATGTCATCAGCCACACCCCTCTGGGGGATGGGGACCTGAAGGCATAAAAGATTCCCACCATGCTCTGCAGAAATCCAAGATGGATGCCAGCACATGGAGTAACATAACCTCTGGGAAAAGGTAGGACCTTGACACTATCTTGCTGTGGAGACATATCTGGTTCCTCCCTGTAGGTCGATGTAGGCTACTACCTTGGCATTGTCCAACTGAATCCTGATCAGATGGACCCTCCAGTTCGCACTGCAGGGACAACCAAATCGCCCGCATCCTCTGTACCGTCAAAGTGTCCAGGACTTCTCCACAGCCCGATAAGTGGGCATTTGTCATGACATCTTCCATGAAACTAGAAGCAAATGAGTTGTCCTTCTGCAGAGCGCGAGTCCTGACCCATCAAACGAGGGACAAGTTAGTTTTCAAGGTCAAGCAAATCAGTCTGTCCAAGCTCTAGACAGACAACAGGATGTGGTCTGGAGTGGAAGTGGGCGAATGGGACTATCATCACCCCCAAATCTCCGATAGAGAAGAGCTTGGTGACTCCTGGACTGAATATTACGAGTCTGGAGGTGGAGATTTGGAAGTTTTCCCATGGGAAGGAAAACTCTGGTGCTGTGTAGGATTGGACCCAGATTCTCCAAGTCTGTTCCAGTGCTGATTTCTGGAGGTCCAGGACCCAGCAGAACTTTTGCAAGGCCCAGTGCCTGGAGGTCACATTCCAGGCTAGCGCTGCAGTCATCCAGTCCAGGTACGGACTCCAAAGCTAGTGTAGAGGACATGCTGATTACAGAGACCCGCTCAGGCGGCTTCCAGGGAAAAAGGTCATCTGGATGGAGAAAAACATTGCCAGAAAGGACTTTTCTTAGAAGAGAAAGAGGCGCGCCCATCTTACAGGGACACCATCAAAAAACAAAGGCATGCTGGGAGTGGGAGGGGTTATGTGGGGCTGGCCACAGTTTTTGATATGCCAGGGTCCAAATTCTCCTGAAGGTGGCAGCATAACCCAACAGTCTTCATTTCTGTGTCCCTCAATGAATGATCCCGATTAATCCTGACCCAGTGTCCCTGTGACTTCCAGATGGATGAGAGGAGACGTCCTGATGGATGAGGAGAGGAGGAGGTGTTTGTAGTCCAAATCAGGACAGCAGCTTAGACTGACAACGCTGCTTCTCCACAGATACAGTACAGTGAGTGAGCGTTGTCACCCGAGGACAGGAAGTGAGTTACTGGCAGGATCACCAGGTGACAACGCTGCTTCTCCATAGATACATTACAGTGAGCGAGTGTTGTCACCCGAGGACAGGAAGTGAGTTACTGGCAGGATCACCAGGTGACAATGCTGCTTCTCCATAGATACATTACAGTGAGGGAGCGTTGTCACTGAGGACAGGAAGTGAGTTACTGGCAGGATCACCATGTGACAATGCTGCTTCTCCATAGATACATTACAGTGAGGGAGCGTTGTCACCCGAGGACAGGAAGTGAGTTACTGGCAGGATCACCAGATGTGACAATGCAGCTTCTCCCAGATACATTACAGTGAGGGAGTGTTGTCACCTGAGGACAGGAAGTGAGTTACTGGCAGGATCACCATGTGACAATGCTGCTTCTCCCAGATACATTACAGTGAGCGAGTGTTGTCACCCGAGGACAGGAAGTGAGTTACTGGCAGGATCACCAGGTGACAACGCTGCTTCTCCATAGATACATTACAGTGAGCGAGTGTTGTCACCCGAGGACAGGAAGTGAGTTACTGGCAGGATCACCAGTGACAACGCTGCTTCTCCATAGATACATTACAGTGAGCGAGTGTTGTCACCCGAGGACAGGAAGTGAGTTACTGGCAGGATCACCATGTGACAATGCTGCTTCTCCATAGATACATTACAGTGAGCGAGTGTTGTCACCCGAGGACAGGAAGTGAGTTACTGGCAGGATCACCAGATGACAACGCTGCTTCTCCATAGATACATTACAGTGAGCGAGTGTTGTCACCCGAGGACAGGAAGTGAGTTACTGGCAGGATCACCATGTGACAATGCTGCTTCTCCATAGATACATTACAGTGAGCGAGTGTTGTCACCCGAGGACAGGAAGTGAGTTACTGGCAGGATCACAAGATGACAATGCTGCTTCTCCATAGATACATTACAGTGAGCGAGTGTTGTCACCCGAGGACAGGAAGTGAGTTACTGGCAGGATCACCAGTGACAACGCTGCTTCTCCATAGATACATTACAGTGAGCGAGTGTTGTCACCCGAGGACAGGAAGTGAGTTACTGGCAGGATCACCATGTGACAACGCTGCTTCTCCATAGATACATTACAGTGAGCGAGTGTTGTCACCCGAGGACAGGAAGTGAGTTACTGGCAGGATCACCATGTGACAAATGCTGCTTCTCCATAGATACATTACAGTGAGCGAGTGTTGTCACCCGAGGACAGGAAGTGAGTTACTCCAGTCCACCACCATGTGACAATGCTTGCTTCTCCATGGAGATACATTACAGTGAGCGAGTGTTGTCACCCGAGGATAGGAAGTGAGTTACTGGCAGGACCAAGTAAAGGAAAAATCCTGAAAAAAAGAACACTAAAGCAGCCACTACATCTAGGGTCTGGCAATCTGCAATGTAATAGAGTTTTCTTTCTTGGGATCAGAAACATTTAGCCCTCCACCGTCCACCAAAAGCTGAAATGTGAATGGCGGAGAAGATGGCCTTACCATGGTTCTCATTGGATGATACGTAGGTCAGCAAGAGAAGGCAAAGGATCTCCACCACATTGAGCAGGAAGTTGAGGTGACAGGCCAAATATGACACTCCGGAGCCCACATAATAGTTCAGATATGCCACGGCCACCAGAAAACGGGGTGCAGAGTGCAGCCCGATACAGAACCTCCAGACATACCGCTGTGGGGTGACTCCACCAATCGCTGCACTTATGGATGGCAGGTAGTTGGGAACCTGGAGAGAGCAAACAGAAAATAAGGGGGGGTCAGTTCATATCCTCATATCTACACTACAGGTAGGTGGGTCAGTTCATATCCTCATATCTACATCTACAGGTGGGTAGTTCATATCCTCATATCTACACTACAGGTAGGTGGGTCAGTTCATATCCTCATATCTACATCTACAGGTAGGTGGGTCAGTTCCTATCCTCATATATCTCCATCTACATTAGGTGGGTCAGTTCCTATCCTCATATCTCCATCTACATCAGGTGGGTCAGTTCATATCTCCATCTACATTAGGTGGGTCAGTTCATATCCTCATATCTCCATCTACATCAGGTGGGTCAGTTCAGTTCATATCTCCATCTACATTAGGTGGGTCAGTTTCATATCTCCATCTACATCAGGTGGGTCAGTTCATATCCCCATATCTCCATCTACATTAGGTGGGTCAGTTCATATCCCCATATCTCCATCTACATCAGGTGGGTCAGTTCATATCCCCATATCTCCATCTACATTAGGTGGGTCAGTTCATATCTCCATCTACATCAGGTGGGTCAGTTCATATCCTCATATCTCCATCTACATTAGGTGGGTCAGTTCATATCCCATATCTCCATCTACATTAGGTGGGTCAGTTCATATCCTCATATCTCCATCTACATTAGGTGGGGTCATTCCCCATATCTCTCATATCTCCATATCTATCTACATCAGGTGGGTCAGTTCATATCCTCATATCTCCATCTACATTAGGTGGGGTCAGTTCATATGGGTCAGTTCATATCTCCATCTACATTAGGTGGGTCAGTTTCATATCCCCATATCTCCATCTACATCAGGTGGGTCAGTTCATAGTTCATATCTCCATCTACATTAGGTGGGTCAGTTCATATCCTCATATCTCCATCTACATTAGGTGGGTCAGTTCATATCTCCATCTACATTAGGTGGGTCAGTTCATATCCTCATATCTCCATCTACATCAGGTGGGTCAGTTCATATCCTCATATCTCCATCTACATCAGGTGGGTCAGTTCATATCCTCATATCTCCATCTACATCAGGTGGGTCAGTTCATATCCTCATATCTCCATCTACATCAGGTGGGTCAGTTCATATCCTCATATCTCCATCTACATTAGGTGGGTCAGTTCATATCCTCATATCTCCATCTCCATCTACATCAGGTGGGTCAGTTCATATTCATATCTCCATCTACATTAGGTGGGTCAGTTCATATCCTCATATCTCCATCTACATCAGGTGGGTCTATATCTCCATCTACATTAGGTGGGTCAGTTCATATCCTCATATCTCCATCTACATTAGGTGGGTCAGTTCATATCCTCATATCTCCATCTACATTAGGTGGGTCAGTTCATATCCCCATATCTCCATCTACATCAGGTGGGTCAGTTCATATCCCCATATCTCCATCTACATCAGGTGGGTCAGTTCATATCCCCATATCTCCATCTACATCAGGTGGGTCAGTTCATATCTCATATCCATCTACATTAGGTGGGTCAGTTCATATCTCCATCTACATCTACATCAGGTGGGTCAGTTCATATCCTCATATCTCCATCTACATTAGGTGGGTCAGTTCATATCTCATATCTCCATCTACATATCAGTTCATATCTCCACTCCTGATTTAGGTGGGTCAGTTCATATCCCCATATCTCCATCTACATTAGGTGGGTCAGTTCATATCCTCATATCTCCATCTACATCAGGTGGGTCAGTTCATATCCCCATATCTCCATCTACATCAGGTGGGTCAGTTCCATATATCTCATATCTATCTCCATCTACATTAGGTGGGTCAGTTCTATTCATCTCCATTCATATCTCATATCTCATATCTCCATCTACATTAGGTGGGTCAGTTCATATCCTCATATCTCCATCTACATTAGGTGGGTCAGTTCATATCATATCTCATATCTCATCTCCATCTACATTAGGTGGGTCAGTTCATATCTTCATATCTCCATCAGGTGGGTCAGTTCATCATAGGTCAGTTCATATCTCCATCTACATCAGGTGGGTCAGTTCATATCCTTCATATCTCCATCTACATTAGGTGGGTCAGTTCATATCTTCATATCTCCATCAGGTGGGTCAGTTCCTATCCTCATATCTCCATCTACATCAGGTGGGTCAGTTCATATCCTCATATCTCCATCTACATTAGGTGGGTCAGTTCATATCTCCTCATATCTCCATCTACATCAGGTGGGTCAGTTCTATCCTCATATCTCCATCTACATCAGGTGGGTCAGTTCATATCCTCATAGGTGGGTCAGTTCATATCTTCATATCTACATCAGGTGGGTCAGTTCATATCCTCATATCTCCATCTACATCAGGTGGGTCAGTTCATATATCCTCATATCTCCATCTACATCAGGTGGGTCAGTTCATATCTTCATATCTCCATCTACATTAGGTGGGTCAGTTCCTATCCTCATATCTCCATCTACATCAGGTGGGTCAGTTCATATCTTCATATCTCATCTACATTAGGTGGGTCAGTTCATATCCTCATATCTCCATCTACATCAGGTGGGTCAGTTCATATCCTCATATCTCCATCTACATCAGGTGGGTCAGTTCATATCCTCATATCTCCATCTACATTAGGTGGGTCAGTTCATATCCTCATATCTCCATCTACATCAGGTGAGTCAGTTCATATCTCCATCTACATTAGGTGGGTCAGTTCATATCTTCATATCTACATCAGGTGGGTCAGTTCCTATCCTCATATATCTCCATCTACATCAGGTGGGTCAGTTCATATCCTCATATCTCCATCTACATTAGGTGGGTCAGTTTATATATCCTCATATCTCCATCTACATCAGGTGGGTCAGTTCATATCCTCATATCTCCATCTACATCAGGTGGTGGGTCATATCTATATCTACATTAGGTGGGTCAGTTCATATCTCCATCTACATAGGTGGGTCAGTTCTATCCTCATATCTCCATCTACATCAGGTGGGTCAGTTCATATCCTCATATCTCCATCTACATTAGGTGGGTCAGTTCATATCCTCATATCTCCATCTACATTAGGTGGGTCAGTTTATATCCTCATATCTCCATCTACACTAGGTGGGTCAGTTCATATCTCCACATCTCCATCCACACAACCCCATTGTTTCCATACATAGTAAGACCCCTGACAGTGAAGACTGCGCTCTAAAATTTTAAACCAGGAATCCAGGCAAATGGAAAACAAACAATTTTTGTACTTGCTGTAAAATATTCTTTGAATTCATTGAGGAATTCAGTTGGGTTACAATGTTGCCTACAGAAGTTTGGGACACACTGGCAAAGAGGAAAAGTTGTAAGCCAGTACCCATATAACTCCTCCTCTACCCAGCATGCCTCAGTTTTGTGAGCAAACGATACCAGTAAAAACAGAGGGGCGAGAACTGTGTCCACCAATGGACTTTATGGTAAGTACAAAATTCCTATTTTCCCCATTATCCACTGAGGGACACACACATTCAGTAATCATTGGGACACCTGAAAGCAGTCCATCTGAGGGGTGGGCAACAGACTGTAACACAGGACTACTAGAAGGACTAACACCCAGAATCAATGAAGATAAAGTCCCCCACAAAGCTGAGGAATCTATCAACAACCACTGAATATGCCACCACAGAGGATCAACCTGGTGCTCACACCGGGACCAAGGAGATCACCACCAAAGTGTAAATTAGTCAACACAAGGAATATTGGGACAAAAAGCCATGGAAAATGTGGCACCCGGAGGGAACCATACACCAAGCAAGTCCACAAGATGAGACCAACTGGTCTGCCGGCAAAAGAACAAACCTTTTACATTCCCAAACCTTGGATCCAGAGAAAGAAAATATCAGGGTAAATATGAACTGCCCGGCCAGACAGCCCATCGCATAGAGATATCAAGTCTCACAATGTAACATTGCAAGATCAAAAGGACCCCTGGGACTGAACATATCCTGGGGTACCATCCCCAAGCAAGGATTGACTATGGAAGGTGGGGTGCTAGGGAAGTGCCCTGACAAGGATATGCAGAAGGTGAATCTACCAACAACCACTGAATAGGCCACAAAGGAGCAGCCTCGCGTTCAGACCAGGACCAAGGAGATCACCACCAAAGTGTAAAATGATTAACACAAGGAAGCCATGGAAAATGCGGCACCCAGAGGGAACCATACACCAAGGAAGGCCACAAGATGAGACCACCTGGTCTGCCAGGAAAAGAACAAAACCTTTTACATTCCCAAACCTTGGATCCAAGGAAGGAGAGCATCAGAGAGAGTATGAATTACCTAGCCAGACAACCCATCGCATAGAGATATCAGGGAACACAAGAAGCCTCATAAATGGGAAAGTCAAAAGGACCCCCGGGCCTGAACATATCCTGGGGTACCAACCTTGAGGTGGGCTCAACTATGGAAGGTAGGGTGCTAGAGAAGTGTCCTGACAAGGATATGCAAGGGTGAAGATCAGCACAACTCAGACTGGTATCTGTAACATCTGAGAGAAGGAGGAGGAGTAAGACCGACCTGCTAAAACCACCGGAGGTGTCCCTTGGTGTGTTGGAATGGCCATTTTGTTGATTTTCTTTTTGCAACAAATATGGAATATCATTTTTTAGCCACCATTTGGAAGTTACAAATGTTAAGTGCAGTGCGTATCCTCCATGTGTGCAATGTAAGTGGGGTACACGGGCTCTAAGGGGCCCACTGTGCCCTCACACACGGAGGATAATGCTGTCCTGGCTGAGATGCATCCGCTCTGATCACTGGTGGCTGCAGCTCAAAGATCCGTTCTGTGTGCCAGCCCAGAACCTAGGGGGTGCTCTGAAGCCAACTTGTGGAGGGAACCCCAGAAGAAACTGAGGTTAATTGTTCTGGGGAACCAGGGATAAAGGCAGCACTGCAAAGAAGGGCCCACCAAAATGGGGGCAAGAAACTGCCCCATTCCCCATAAGAGACT